GAGGGAGGGAGGGAGGGAGGGGGGAGAGAGAGAGAGAGAGAGAGAGAGAGAGAGAGAGAGAGAGAGAGAGAGAGAGAGAGAGAGAGAGAGAGAGAGAGAGAGAGAGAGAGAGAGAGAGAGAGAATAGGGAAAGAGGAAAACAAAGAGGAGCGGGATAGGAGGACAAGGGAGGGGAGAGGAGAAGAGATAGGAGAAGAGATAGGAAAAGAGTAGGGAGGGAGATAAAGAGAGGAAATAAAAGGGAAGACGAAGGGGGAGGAGGAAGTCGAGGAGAGTGGAAAAAAGAGGATAAGTGGGAGAAGAGGACACGGAAGGGGCGAGGTGACGAGAAGGGGAGAAAGTGGGGAGGGGGCGAGGGAGTGAGGGAAGGAGGAAGGGAGGGAGAGAGAGAGGGAGGGAAAGGGAGAGAGAGAGAGAGAGAGATAGGGGAGAGAGAGGGGGAGAGAGGAGAGAGAGAGAGAGAGAGAGAGAGAGAGAGAGAGAGAGAGAGAGAGAGAGAGAGAGAGAGAGAGAGAGAGAGAGAGAGGAGAGAGGAGAGAGAGAGGTGAGATAATAGGGAGGAGGAAGAAGGAAAAGCAGAGAGGGAGAGACGAAAAAAAAAGAAAGGAACAGAGCAGAGAGCGAGAGAGGGGAGATAAAAGGGAGGGGGAGGGGGGAGAAGCCAGGGTAAAAGGAGGAAAAAGAGGAGCGGGGTAGGAGACGAGAAGGGGAAAGAGAAGAAGAAAGGGAGAGGAAGAGAGACACAGAGAGAAAGAAAGAAAGAGAGAGAGAGAGAGAGAGAGAGAGAGAGAGAGAGAGAGAGAAAGAGAGAAAGAGAGAAAGAGAGAAAGAGAGAAAGAGAGAAAGAGAGAAAGAGAGAAAGGTAGGAGATACAAGGAGGGAGAAGATAGAAGGAGGGAGATATGCAAAGAGGAAAACAGAAGTACAGGGGAGGCGAGAGAAAGAGTTTGGGTGATCTTGAAGAACAGAAAAGACACGCGGAAAGATTAGGCCTAGAGGGGGGCGAGGGCACGAGAATGGGACAGCGGACGTAAAAGTAAGTGCGCAGGGAAAGGGGGATTGGGGAAGAGATAGAGGAGGTAGGAAGGAATGTGTATATAAATATATATAAATAAATATAGATAAATATAAATATATATAAATATATACATATATATACAGACACATACACACATATATATAATATATATAATACATATAATACATACATACATATACATATAGACATGTACATAGATATATATACACATACATATATATAAATATATGTATATATATAAATATATGTATATATGCATATATATACATATGTAAATCTACAGATATACACATATACATATAACCAAATATATATATATATATATATATATATATATATATATATATATATATATATATATATATATATATATATATATATATATATATACATACTTACATACTTACATACTTACATACACACATAAATCTACATATATATAATATATATGATATAAATATAATATATATATGATATAAATATAATATATATATTATATATAATATAGATATATATTTTATATATAATATATATATCATACATATAATATATATATCATATATACAATATATATATTATACGTATAATATATATATTATACATATAATATATATATTATATATACAATATATATAATACATAATATATCGCTACCTCATTGCAAGAGGGTCGTAACTCCAAATTCCTGATTTTTTAGGAGACGCATTTGAAAATTGCTAAGTCCTATGAATTTGATCATGTTTCACAAAACAACAAAACTTACCATCTTTATTAGGTGAATATAAAGATGGTAAGTTTTGTTGTTTTGTGAAACATGATCAAATTCATAGGACTTAGCAATTTTCAAATGCGTCTCCTAAAAAATCAGGAATTTGGAGTTACGACCCTCTTGCAATGAGGTAGCGATATATATTATATACACAATACATATATACTATATATACATATATATGGTAGAAAAACTACAATCCACAAACTAGATTTATTAAAAACGAGGAGGATTTTGGAATTGTTGTCTCGTGTTTATATATAATGTATGTATGTATGTATGTATGTATATAATGTACTCGTAAGAATGGTGATAAACTAATGCTTAAGTTAGATCGATTAAATACGAGACAACAATTCCAAAATCCTCCTCGTTTTTAATAAATCTAGTTTGTGGATTGTAGTTTTTCTACCATAAACACACACACATACATATAAATAATGTATATATATACACATATACGTGCATATACGTACATATACATATATATTATTATTATTATTATTATATATGGCATATATGTATATATACATATAAGTATATATACATATATATACTTATATGAATATATACATATATATACTTATATGTATATATACATATATATACTTATATGTATATATACATACATATACCTTCACATATTAATATATTCATTCATATTTATATATACAATGCCTGTAAGCGTATGCGTATGCGCGCGACCGCTGGACAGGCCGAGGCAGGCGGAGTCAGACCAGGGCCGCCCAGCATCCGGGGCGCCGAGTCAGCCGACGGGAAATGGGAAAGAATACAGCCTGGAACTCCAGCCGAGAGCCGCTTCCCCCCGTCTAAATGAATTCATTCCGCCGCCAACACTTACTGCCCGGCTCACCTGCCTCCTTAATGAACCGTGCCTCTTAAAAAACAACGGCGCTAATTTGCCAAGAATTAATTAGTCTCGCTATATTTGTGAACAGATTTTTTTTTTTTAATAAATGTGATTTGACTTTCGTGATAATAACCATGCATGACGAATTACTCATCTAATAAAGATTTGTTAAATGTTTAATAACTTCATACGCTCCTTTTGAATGAAGAGAAATAGCGTTTTAATAAAATACAGTTATGATATAAGTAGCTCTAACTTCACTATCCTAAAACAGATTTTTTACTTCTTGTTTTTTTCTTCATTTAAGTTATCTTACCAAATCAATTATGATCGACTTATCCCGAAAATCGAATCTAAACCTCAATTATACCACGTTACAAATTTACAAAGCTACTAGCAAACGTTTCCTGAAAAATCTATTCTCTATGAAGAAAATATGCTAAATCATTCGAAAAAAAAATTTGCCCCTCAAGCTTTATGCACGTCAAAGGAACAGAAGAGCAATAATAATCATGCAAGGTTTTACTAAATGTAAAGGAGGAAATCACAAGCCTTGACTGAAACTCACTCACTCCCGCCGAACGGCTTGCCAAGTAAATTACCCAAATCGAGTATATGGCCGAGGAACTGGCGAGCAAATTTCTGCTATATATAAGCGACCCGTTTGAGCAGTCAAGCGGCTCGTTTGCGTGCAATATTTTGCAATTACTGTGCAATTAAGTGTCTACTTCCTATACTATGCAACTTGCAAATCTCGTCATCGATTACTTGTTCCTGTCTTTACTTCACTATTAGCTGCGTCTGACTTCTGTTACATGTCCCTGGTGGGTTTAACGAGGTTGCAATTGTGCTCATTGCATATTGCAGTATTCTGCATACATTTGTGAATGCATGAGATGAGAAAAACGAATTATCCTAAATGAAGAATCAGGCAGGGAAGGTAAGGAGAGAAGTAATAAGTAGAAGACCAAGAACAGGAAGAGGAAGAGGAAGAGGAAGAAGAAAAGAAAAGAAAAAAAAGAAGAAGGAAAAAAGAGACAGGGTGTTCAAAAGAAGTGGAGAAGAAAAAAACAAAACAAAATATACGAGAGTAGAAATGAGAAAGAAAAGGTAAATCTGATAAGGCGACTTCCCCAAATACTGAAACGTCGCCCCTCTCCAACCCCCACCCCCCACCCAACCCCAAAAAAGGACCAGAAAAATAAAATTGAAAAAGTAACCCCCTACGAGGTCCGCCCGGCCGTAATCTCCTCCCAGACGTCGGCCGGTGAGCGATTTACGATTTGCACTTCTACTAACACATTCAAGAAGGCGGCCAATCAAACGCTCGCACACAGCTGCGCCCAATAACACAATACATCAATGGAGGGAGAGAGGGAAAGGATGAGGGGAGGGAGGAAGGGAGGGAAGAAAAGAGGGGAGGGAAAGGAGGGAGGGAGGGGGGGGAGTGGAGGGAGGGAGGGGAGGGAGGGAGGGATGAAGGGGGAGGGGAAGGGGAGGGTGTGTATATTTACATACACACACACACACACACATATATATATATATATATATATATATATATATATATATATATATATATATATATATATGTGACTGTGTGTATGTTATATATAATATATTTTACACACACACACACACACACACACACACACACACACACACACACACACACACACACACACACACACACACACACACACACGCACACACAAATATAACTAGAGCTGTGCTTCAGTCATCCAAGTTGTTTAACTCCGCCAAGGAAAACTTGTAGCTGCCCCAAGGGGTAAATTACGAGGAACTCAATATGGTAATCAAATTTATCTCGTGTTGCTTAAAGAAAGAGGAGGGAGGGACGGAGAGAAGTGGAAGTGGAGGTGGAGGTGGAGGAAGAGGAGGAGGAGGAGAAGGAGGAGGAGAAGGAGGAGGAGAAGGAGGAGGAAGAGGAGGAGGAGGAAGAGAAGGAGGAGGAGAGGAGGAGGAGGAGGAGGAGGAGGAGGAGGGGAGGGGGAGGGGAGGGGAGGGGAGGGGAGGGGAGGAGGAGGAGGAGGAGGAGGAGGAGGAGGAGGAGGAGGAGGAGGAGGAGGAGGAGGAGGAGGAGGAGAAGGTGGTGGTGGAGATAGAGAAAATGAAAGAGGAGATAGAAAAGAGGAAGGAAAACGAAAACGAAAAGGAGAACAAGGAGAATAAGAAGACAGAAGAGAGAAAAAAAAGAAAACGAGTAAAAATGCAACAGAAGTAATAAGATGGAGCCCCTCGTGCAACAAAATGGCGACAGGGCAGGAGAAGCTAGAGTCCGAAGCGCCATGAATCCTCAC